GTTGCTGGTTACCGCAGCTTCACATGGGCGCTAGCAACACTGGCGCATGTGCAGCCCGTACGCGAATTCCAGTGATCTCTCTTGATGCACTCTCCAGCATACCAATTTGGTTTTGGTAGGAGACTCACGTGGACCCCAGATGACTCTCACGTCTCATGTGTCTTTCTTGTTTCTGCCCAAGTGCTGAAATCTTCACAGTAGTCAAGCGTTACGCCTAACGTCTTCAATATCCTCGTTGAGAAGCGGATGATTATAAAACCTGTGAATTTGGCCTTTGTTAAGTGGGATGTGAATCACTGTACATTCAATGTCACCAGTGGTAACAAAAATGTTTTTCTACATGTAAGGCTGTCCCAAATCAGCGCTGTCTTCTAATTCGTCTATGGAGTACGTAAACTGTTGTCGGACAAGTCACGTGCTTAGGTGTCAAAAGACGTCGCCGTTCGATAGAATCAGACTGCAAGTGGCGAACAGTTGTCATGTTGCGTTAGAGGTGATGTCTGGCAGACGAGAGGTCACAAGCTGCGGAGAATTGAGGAGATAAATCGCAGCCTTCATAGTAAGGCAACAAAGACATTACATAATAGACATGTTGAAATTGTACGACCGTATTAACATCAACGACCTTGAGAATTAACTGCAATGCAAGCAGCGCCTGAAGCAGTGCAGTTACTGTGGAAACCAGCGGCTAGATGTACGATACAATGAGGTGCTCGTCAAAGAACAAACAAAAATCATACGAACAATAATACGCAACACGCACTGACTGTAAAAACCCTACTCATCTCGATGCAAATGACGCCTGGTTCGATAATCTTTCTAGTAAAAACCGCATCAAGCCCCATAAATTCATTGATTCGGTTTCAAAAGTTACAAATCAGAAGATTCATTGGAAAATCACCTTGTGAACCTAGTGTCCACCCACTACTGGCAAGTCTCTTGGTGTGAAAATTGTTTGTGCATTCACAGTTATTTCCACAAAACCTGTAACATTGATGAGTGAGTCACATATTACTCACGTGAATGTCAACGATTTCAAACAACTATTCGGAGTGGAACCGTTTGACACAAACAGGAAGACACACGAGTAAAATGTATACGTGTCCTCATTTTGAACAATAATAGCTCTGGATATTGTGTTTTGTAACCTTGATAGAGATGCTATACGGCAAGATGCTTTGCATTCCAATTCAATAGCCCCATTGGCACTGTGATACCTGATCCTCCGTATATCTTGTGTTCATGTGATTGGAAATATCGGAATGCCAGTTGTACCAACAGAGAAACGGATGCACACTGAAGACCAGGATACCAATACCAATTCACTCGGATCAGAGGTTGCATCCCGCGCCCTACATCCAAAATCATTCGCCCACAACAACCTCACTGGGCAACGAGGACAACATTTAATCGAAAATATGGGTACGATATGTGGACGACACATTCGCTATTGTAAAGAAAAATGAACTGCCACGAGCAGAGGAACTGCTGAACGTGGTTCCTGACATCCACTTCACAATGGAAACGGAGGAGAACAACGAACTGGCGTTCCTAGATGTGCTCGTCACAGGGACAACAAACGGCCAACTACAAACTGGAGTATACACACACACATACAGACCAGATTTTAAATTACCACAGCAACCATTCGAACCATTTCATATGGAGATGCTTACGACACCAACACCAAGCTGATCCGTCAACACAACCAGAACAGAGGAGGATTACGCTGCCGTATATCAGAAACGTGGCGGAGATGATTGCACGACATCTATGGCAATATGGAATTACAGTCGCCTTCAAGCTTACAAACACGTTGAGAAGAATACTCTCGAAACCAAAGGGAAGGTTGGATGCTTTGAAGAAGACTAACGTGATTTACAAACTTAAGTGCAACGACTGCGACAAACATGTTGACCAAACAGGAAGAAAACTTGCTACCAGAATACACGAACACAAGCCTGCCAGCAGAAGACATGACCCAATGTCACTTGTCTCAATTCACGAAGACAGAGAAGGACACGAATTCAATTGGGACAGTATTCAAATACTGACTCACGCAAGAACGAAACGGGAGCGAGAATTTGCCGAGGCGTGGTACTCCACACAAAAATCGGCCAATAAACACATCCACATTGACCCAGTCTATCAGCCGTTACGAGCAAAAACCACACAGTCACGGAACTCTGAGCCGAGAAACCTAACGACCACCAACGGACTAATCGGGTCAAAGGAAGGCAATCACTAAAAACAGAAGGCCGATGAATCAACCAATCAAGTGTATGAAACCCACACCACAAAGCAAGAAGGAAACGGCCGAATCACAGCAGAACAACCACACACAGAACTATCCAATTGAATGCACCCAACGAACCAACCAGACACAGGAGATTGAGACCACGTCAGATTCACAGGAGACCAATCAAACTACACGAAGACCATTTCCAGAACTGCCAGATACTATTGAGAAGCTATATGATCACGGGCAGAAGAGGAGGAATTCAGCCTGCACTGACGATGTCACCTCGATTGGTGATGAAACGTTTGCAATCCAACTGCCAAGCTCGGCGACCAACAACCAACTAACATTTAACTGCCGCAGCATACAAGGTCGAAGACGGTTAGTTCACTCATGCCATTAACCATCTACCAACAACACTGTTTACGTAGAGAAAAGAAAGACCTATTCCACACCGCCTCCAGTATTTTCCCCCATTGTTCGATATCACGCAACCTGGATAAAACTGTCCCAATTTATCCCCTTCCAAACTTCTCTTCATCCTGCGCTTCGCAACATCTTACCTCATTCAACACAGCTGCCTACATGTACATTACAAAGGGAGACTGAGGATAGATAGTGGCTAGCCTATTGGTAATGCTGCACGGTTGATGAACAGATCAAGCTACCCTCATAACTACTCTGGGAATCCACACACTCCTCAGACGAGGGACTACTCGGCCTTAATCACGTGACAACCCCAACTTCCGGCGACTTCTATAAAGAATATTACATATTCTACAATCATCCAAGTTATGTCCCTCTCCCATATTCACGGTTCCCAGCTACTCCTAGATGTTGAAGACACCGTTACCTATCTGTGTTCTGAATTTGCAAAATCCCTCCACGTGAACCTGATTTTCCTATTCCTTCTATATATTGAACTCTTCGACAGATCTGAAGACTTTGTGTCACTTATCAGACATGCGCTACTAGAAACCTCAATCAATCTCACTCCATAAACCTACATGGATTCTGTTAATCCGTAGACAATCAAAATGTACAGTTCATCTTTCATTAAAGAAGGCTGTCTGACAACACCTCCCCTTCCCATCATTGACAAATGCATTCATTTTCCATCTCTAAATTAATATAACCCACTCCATAAACTGACTTGTCCCTATACAAACGACCATAGACAAACATTACGAACATTTGTTTGGTTGGGAATACTAAAATTGTTACTCAATTACACTATACTACTACTGCATCAGAAAGTTCGAGGTGTTCGCCGCTCCAAATGTTCGCTCCGAGCCTTGGGCGCGCCGCCGATGGGTCGAGGTGCTAGCGAGGTTTGTATTGAGCTACATTAGCCAACACGCTGGTCCAACCCGTGTTGCATGCACCCGTGCTCTAACGAACGAGCAGCCAGCTCACTGATGCAGTCTTTGGCGGTATTACTAATTTGGTGGACGATGTGCGGTATCGGATAAATTGGAAAAAAACGACAGATAATGTGTCGAATGGTTCTCACCAGGAACCAAACACTCTTAGAATGTAAAAGTCCAGCAGTGATGTATGTAACAGCGTGACTGTGTGTGGGTGTTAAGGAATCGTCTGTAGGTTTATAGGCGGATAGAGCAACATGTTGTCTTCGTCGAATCGTAAGGTATGTGACTGTGGATAGAATGAATGGGGTTGACGTATTTATATCGTCTTTGTTAAGGGGCATTCGTTTCGCCGCAGTTTTTTCCATACCAGTGGCGCCAATAACAAGTACACAGGGAACTCGGAGGTGTGCCAATGTGACGTCGAACGTCCTACCAACCGACTCATCGGAGAGGACCAAAGCGCTGCACCAAATTTTGGAGTAAGGAGAGGAAACACAGCTCTAACTTTTCGAGGATCCTCTGCACATTCCAAGCACACTCAATCACGCCATACAATGCTCACTCCGGCGCGAATGAACAACTTCACTTGTGCCATAATATTACTAACTACTTTCCCAAGTAGCTTAAAATATCACTTATTTTAATCGTGTAACTGCTTCCTAAAATGCTGCTGTGTCGCACCTCAGTTTATTCGCTTACATTATATTATTTATATAATCCAGCTGCCGTTGCCACAGCAACCCCAATCCAAACATCCTACCAACATCCTGATCGGAGTGGACCAATAACAAATTTGGAG